AAGCTAGAGTGAGGACTGTGTTTAAAAAGACAGTTAAACCATTGTAAAGACTACAACTAAAGATGATCTTGACACTTGGTGGTAAAACATAGTAAACTTTTCCCGTGTTATATACCTTTATTCCCAGCGTTCTGCTGATAACAACATGAAAACATTCTGCAGTATCTTTTTTTCTTTTTTTTTTTTTCCCCACACTGCAATTGGCTTCACTCTTTTTCTTGGTACACTCAGTAAATCGAGCTCCTTAAATCTTACTTCACAGACTTTATCTCCCATCCCACTACCATTCTTGTGCCCTGCTCTTTTCTTCCCTCTGCAGGATCTGTATCGTTCTTGCAGTGCTGGCTATACAACTAGGCAACAGCAGGTTTGCCAAAGTCGTGCACAGAAGTGAAAGCATCTCCTTATCTCTACTTTCTAAGCATCTAAGGGTTGGAGAGGTCTTTGTTGCCTCAGCAGCAAGTCAGATTGCTCAGGGTACTGTCATTACTGCAGCAATCCCTGCTGTCTTTTGGGCTGCTGCTTCCCTCATCTCCTGTCCTAGGTAGAGTCTATATTCTTTGTTCCTAAATATTGCACTTGGCATTTGGCTGTGTGGAAATTTTGCTTTTTCTTGGGTTGTAGATATTCCACAAACCTATTCACGTATCTCTTTGGAATGCCTTTGCTTCCCATTTCATGCACAGGCAACCCTTGTGTAATCAGTGAACTCTGCCAGGCACAATTTTGCTCTGCAGTCCAGATTGCTAATAAATACGCTAAAGCAGGCTCAATAGATGACTGCTTATAGAGTTTTCTGCACAATAAATAGCTCCATTTTTTGTTTATGTGCTGTTAATTTCTTTTAATGTAAGTCTTAAAAGCATAATACTGTATTTCCTTATTCTTTTCTCAATTTCTTTTAACGTAAGTCTTAAAAGCATAATACTGTATTTCCTTATTCTTTTCTCTCTTGGCAATACTGACTTCTCATTATTTCTTATTTTTTTGGTCAGAATGCTGATCACAAGCTGTGGCACAAACTGGCAAGCAATTAGCAAAAGTCTAAGTTGCTGAAAGAAAACATTCTTGGACACATGAACAAAACAAGTATTTTGGACGTGGTGGAGGGAGACACATAAATTGTGGCAGTATTGGTGAATTTTCTCTTGTGGAAGAGCAGATACAATGAAAACATGCTGATGATTAGCAGTTACAAGTACCCTCTGCTCTCAGAGCGACGGCACACTCGAAGCCTTTGGGAACTTTAAAAGCAGAGCCATTTAGCACTCAAGGTTTATCTGTGATTCTCAGAGCAAGGCTTTATGCAATTTTTCAATTGTTTCAAGGAGTCTCTTGTCACACGCCAATATGACCCTATCCCATCATCACTTCTACTGATTATTTTCATAGAGCCATGTGGTGAGTTCATGAGGAGAAAGAGTTTCTGTTCCTATCAGCATGAAAACATTTTGTTTAATCTGATCTGAATAGTGCAGAACAACAAATTTTTACGAACCCGCTTGGAGGAGGGCTATCTGGCTGAGTGTCCAGCCAAGCACTGATATAGGAAAAGGAGAAGAATTGTTAAAGCTCTTTTTGGTATCTCACCAAAGAAAAAGGAAAGAATTGTACATGAGCAAGGTTTGGACTTGGACAGTTTAACTATGCCAGTTTCCAATCCATCTGTGCTTGACAAAAAGAGGATATAACTTTTCTTTTGGAGATGGATCAGTTTACAGTCACCCATAACATTTTCACCTAAAAGCTACAATGTTGTAATGTGCTTTACATGGAAGGTATTTGCAGACCATATGGAAATGGAATTAGTGAAAACGTATCTGCCCAAGTGTTAAATGGAACTCCACAATGAGCATTCCTGAGCTTAAATATGTGACCTATACATACTGCATGTTTGTTTCCAATTAGATTCTATATGGGTAATTTTAACCTTTGCAACTTCTATTCTCTGAGGTATTGAAAAAGCTGAGTTGATCAACCACAGAAGTATTAGACTGGTTTGGGTATATTGAAACTATTTGCATTCAGTTGCAAGTCAGTCTCTTTTTAACTTGTCACTAAGGATATTTTTCACTTACATAATATTCTAGGATGTTGGTCAATCATCTGAAATAGGGACAGGAGTATAGGATGTCTTTGAAGAAATGAAAAGGAGCAAAAATTAGTATTATTTCAGAAAGCAAGTAGACAAAAGAGTTTTACCAATAAATATCTTCTGCACTATCAGACTACTGTTTGATAGGGTTCCTCAGTCATGTTTGGGAATTTACAAGAACTATCATGAAAAATTAACTGTAACGAGAGAGCTCCTAGTCTTCAGTCTTGTCCTGCCCAGACACTGTAGCTAGTTCTATCCCACTTGAAAGTAAAGATGAGGCAGTTCAGATACTAAATATTATTTTCTTAAACTGTAAAGCAGCCAAAAATTGGGACAGAGCAAGAGTACAAGTCAAAGGAAAATGGGGTGCCATGGTATGACTGTAAGTTTTTTCATCAGAAGTTTGAGATAGCTCAGCTATTCCAAGGAGGTGAAACCGTAACTATGTTGTTTACTTCCTTTCAAACATTCGTCAACAGCACCCATCTCACAGCATCAAATCTGGACAGCTGACATAATTAACATGTTTTAGCAGAATTAGAACCATTTTTCCTCCCTCTTTTCTAATTGGGATCCGCCTTCCATATGCAAAAACCTAAGTTACAGAACTGTTTATATTCTTAAGTCTGTAGTTGAACAGTAATTTTTAAACACACACACACAAATATCACCAAAGAAAGATTAAAACTTCCTCTGTTAAAAGGGTGCCTCCAGGTACTTCTTAGATTTTAGCAAAATCCGACAGGGAAATGTTTTATACCATATTCTCAAAGACAGCAAGAGCAATGAACGTATTTTTATGTTTCAAGCTTGAGTAATCAAAAGTAAATATATTTTATAGAATACGAAAGATATAATGTTAACCAATTTGAAAAATAGACAGCAATTGCAGACTTGATTAAACAAAGTTTATTTACTACTTTGTAATTGTTAGAACTAAGATCTTTGCCAGTAAAACAATGAAACCAATTATTTCATATAAAACTTCCAAGCTAATTACTGCTTGCCAAGAATAAGTGTAAATCATTAAATGCTGCATACTCATGTATCTTGAATCACTCCACTAATCTCTGTTTTCCTGAGTCTTTGCATATAAAGCACTTTTGAGGGGTAAAACCACCTTTACCTTTCAGTAAACAATGCCTGGGAATTTCTCAATTTATCTCGCAGAGATTAATTCTTTTTTTAAAGGGAAATTAGCTAGGTGAGCTAGTGGAGATCAAGGATGTCACGCAAGCCATGGAGAAAGAAAGGATGAAAGGATGAAATGACTAGAGCAGCAGCTCCGAGAGTTCCCTGTTAAGATGAAAAAGAGCCTGAAGATCTCAGAAGGAAGGCACAGATCCATCCTGAGGCCTGCTGTGGTCAAATCTACGTTCTGCTTGGATTTTCTTTTACAGATTCTTATTTGAACTTCTAGAGCAGAAAAAAATATTGTTCTTCAAACTGAGGAGTAAGAGAGCAAATGAAGGGATAGTCAGACATATCAGCCAGCAAGTGACAGGAAAGATGGTGCTTATTTTGGAACTCAGTGCTTCATTTGCTAGTAACTATTCCTGAGACTGAAGAGCTGAATCCTAGAAGGACAAAACTTGGGAGAACTGCCCAAGTGGGCATCAGAAGACTGTTACAGGCTCCAGTGCCATTCCTCTAACTGGGCAAGCAATGACAAAAACTCATCCTGCCCTATTGTGGTCAGATTCCTGGTGCCTCTGGGCTTTGCCACATGCTGGGAACTGCGGAAGCCTTGTTCACACTATGATTAAGACCAAAAGAGATGTAATAGCACTGGTCAAGAACTGTTTATACCTATAAAAGAGCTCAGGTATATCCAAGTCAGTTTTATTTGTACTGTATAAAAATTACTGTGCAATAAACAACTGTCAAACAAAAACAAAGTTTGCAAATAACTTTGCTGAAATAAAACATGTTAGAATGGAATCCATCAAAACACCTCACAACTACCTCCTTACTGAATGAATAGCTCCGTTCAGTAAGCACAGGTGTCAGTAAGGGAGAACAGCAACTTTCTCACAGATACAAAATAAACATAAAATAACTGAAGCCTCTGAAAATTACAGCACTACAATACAATTTCTTGTATTAAACAATAAATAGGCAAGAAAAAAAAGCTAGTTAGAAGATTTCAATCATAAGGTGGAAATATTTCTCTCATTAAGACTAAAAGAGGGGCATTTTGCAGGGAATAACTAGGCCACTGATAGGAAGACTGACATTAAGATTATAATTATGCATAATAGAAGGAGTTTTCCCCCAAAGAATTTGACACAAAGCTGTGGTTTGTTTCTGATTTTATCTTCAAACATTATCAGCTTTGCCTGAATGACTCAGTAAACAGTAGCTCTCTGTGTATAAAAATAATTCAGGAAAGAATATGTTCCTCTGGGTATACGATGTGGGAGCAGTGCCAACTCCCCCATGACCGTTTCAGTTGTGTTAGCACTGATTCTTTACTTAGTGCACTAGTTTACATCATGTACACTGATTTCTGCATTCCTTTATTTTCTTTCTCCATTATTTACTGCCTTACTTAGATGGATTCATTCTTTCCCAAAATTTCGCAACCATGAAGACAATACATAATAAATGATAAAATTCTCAGAAGTGTTGTAGGATATTTTAAAGATTTTTTTAATTAAGTAATAAGTTATTAATTAATAAGTTATTAAGTAATAAGTAAGTTTTATTAAGTATTGCTATTTATTAAGGTAGCATTCATCTGCCTGTTCAACTGACTCACCTGAGCAAATAGTGTCCCTACCAAATCTATATGCTGATTCATTTATATATCAAAAACAGCTATATAAAGTCTTGTTAAAATGACAGATTCACTTCCTATTCAAATAGGCAAAACATTACAGTCGTATAGCAGAGACAGTACCTTCAATCAACAGCTCTTGTCCATGACTGCCCAACAATGTACGGGATAAGAAAGGGGCAAAATCAACAAAAATTTCTCGCAGGAGAGGGGCCACCTTTTCCAAGGCTCTTTCAAGCTTTGCAGTGATACTGTGAAAAGAAACAGAGAACATAAGCAAAAGTAAATTATGGCAAATCAAATCTGCTTTTACCAGATGCTACAAGTTTCTTCAGAAAACAGAATCATCATAATTTGATTAACTTTACAGAGTTTAAAATACTTTATGCAAATTTTGTGTCACATTTACCAGCCCGGTCGCCTTACAAGTTTTAAGCACATTTAAAGAATACTTCAAAACACGTTTTTCCCTCATTTTTAAACAGGTAAAGAAGAAACTGAGATATTCAATTATACATCTATTGCACATATCTGTGCTTCTACTCATCTTTTTTTACATGCATTTGCAAGCGTGAAAAGTTTTTCTTCATCTAAAAAAATATTAAAATGTTGGGCTTTTTTGTTTAAGCTTTCAGATAACAGCATCTGACACAGAGATACAAGACAACGAAGTGGACTAGTGCGGGAACCAAGAAAACCAACGTTCTGCTCTTCAACTTTGGGCCATCGTGATCCCAGTAAGTCACTTTGCCTTTCGCCTTCTACCTTGCTTACTGAGACTCTACACTCTTTGAAGCCTGGAATGCTCCTTATTTTACATTTGTACAATAAGAAGCAGTGTTTTGAGCTTTGATTGATTCTTAAATACCAGAATCTGATACCACTCTATCTGAGGACCCAGGTCTAGCAACTGTAGGAAAATGTCAGCCTGAGCTATGCTGTTCTCTCTGAAAGACTGTTACCACTTTAACTTCCTTCTGTGCAGCTTCCTGGGCTACCAAACATTTTTGGCTTTCTTTCTCAGATTACTTGTGGCAGAGAATGGTTTCTTCATGCTTGAGTTTGAGCCCCAAAATATCATCAGCATTTAAAAGCATGATTATAGTTAGATTGTAGCCAGTTAGTTGACGAAGGTACAGCTATTGTTAGGACATAGGAGAATGAACAGTGACACTTCCATTTTCGGTGGTATCTACTACGTATAAACTTTAAATAAATGTGAACTTCTTGATGCAGGTCACAGGGAAGATGTCCCCATTTAAAAACAAAGTAGATATCATCTCAACTAACCTTTAGAACCTGACCTCTTTCTTAGATGATTACTTTACTTTATTATGCTAAAGCCTCTATTGACTACACCTGAAACACAGGTGACTGTCTTAGATACAGGTTTGCTACATTAACCTACCCTACGCTTTTACAGCTAGACAAATAAATAGGCTCTTAATAGTTTCCAAGTTCAAGATTATTTATTTTGCAGATTAAAAGCAACACATGTTAGAAAATAAATTAGGTAAACGTGAGAAACTGGGACAGGGAGGATCAAGAAAGCACAGTAAGACAATCAGAAAAAGAAACGACAAACTGTGAGAAAAAAAAATATTTCTCTGAATAGTTCTTACTACTTATTCACTTATCACAAAGAAATACTATATGAGTACTATATTTAGTTCTATTGAGGGAGAGATTTGAGGTTGCAATCTGTTTATTGCAATCTGTGAAAACAGACAAAACCTATCGAGAACGACAAGAACAGCTTTTGTTAAATGCACTGTTATACACCGCATAAAACCTCAAGAAAACCAAGCAGTGATTTTGAAATAGTTCTTCGTGTGGTGATATTAGATCTAAATAAAATCCCACGTTCTAAACACCAGTATTTTTTGTTTTTCTCAATGGAAGTGAAAAAATTCCAGATAAAGCCCTCACTTTTTCGATAAAAAAATACTGCACAACCATCAGTTTATGTCCTAATAACCAAAAATTCTGGAAATGTTCATGTTCCCTGCTGTGAAAAACAACACAATAATAATATTTTGAAACCATAGAGTGATGCTGTTATTTCAACCTTTTGACTTACTTACATCCTTAGCAGGATTTTATCCTCAGAAGCACTAGTAACATTCTAACATACTTCCTACAGATTTACCTTACTCTTGCCAAAAGTAACATGACTATGAATGTAAAATGACAGGAGAATCAATGTGCTCTTTGTCCAGCAATCCAGCTCTTTGGAATTAAATCAATACAACCTCTCTAGAAGAACTATAATATATCATGGGATGTGTTAGAAGGACAGAAATCCATGGAAGCAGTACAAACACTCAGAATCATCATTCCAAACTAGAAGAGTGATGGATGCAATATTTTGAAGTGACAAAAAATAAATATTCTCTCAATTTTATGAACTTAATTTAAAATTGTATTAAAGAATTATACATCGTCAGACAACAGCATTTCTATTTTAACACTAAAATAGAGTTCTTTACAATAAAAGAGTAAAACATTAAAACAGAAAAGCAATTTTTTTAGAATTGTCATTGCAGAATTCTTAATAGAACAGTCAAGAATAAAATGTTTAATTTCCATACTATTATATAATTTCTGTAACATTATTCAGTATCAAATACAAGAAGTAATAAGATCCATAATCTTACATGTCATATATAATTGTAAGGGCAGGATTGTGATAGGATATTTTGAGGCCCAGGCACACACTATCCTAATTCCAAGCACTCTACTTTCCCAGTCTCATTCTGTGCAAAACTTCTACCTCCAAATGAAGACTACTTAAAGAGCTGAGGTCATGCTCACCCTTGCCTGCTCACGTCCAAGCCATGAAACTCTCCTATGGAAAGAGAACTCGTACAGCTTGTAAGCACCTGGATGAGTTGCTGTCTCAACCACCACCTTCCTAAGACTATGCCTTGAAGTGTCTGACCGACTGAGGGAGATCGGCAATTTCTTACCATGCCTGGTGCAATATTCCTAGGGCAGATATGGGTGCATTTTGACAATATCCAAAATGTGTCTTTTATGTGTGCCCTGATTAGCAGTCAATATTTACGCTTGTTACGTAGGGCTTTTGTTTGCGAAGAAAAAAACTGTTGGCACCTCTCTCCCTACTTGCCAATGGACTGTTTCCAAACTATGTTTTTTGTCTTGCAGTCCATCCCAACAGAAAAACTTTTACTACCGTTACTGAAAGATATAAAAAGCTCATGAACTAAAGAATTATTTTTAATGAAGTTTTAGTGTCTAACTCTAATAGAGTGTCATAACTCTAATGACTGCCCAGTGAAGTGTTCTTCCAGTATGTGCATTCTTAGTACTGAATATATAAATAAATATACATTGAAGTATACAAATAATTACAACAATATATTTTAAATAAGTTAAAATATTTTTTCTTTTTTCTGTATGCATGAGGTTACTGGAAGAGAAATTATAATTAATGTGAAAAGACACAGTTTAGTACCTCATGTTTTCAGCTGAATCCTCTGGCATTGGAGCAACAGTTTGGACAGCTGGGAGATTTTTGCTGGTAGCACCATTCACAAAGCTGGATGACGAAGAGGAAGAAGAAGATCCTGAGTCTACTGCACCTGTCCCCCAAAAAAACACAGGTCTTTTAATTTCAATCGGAAAACATAAAACTTGGAGAGATTTTTAATATAGTCCTTGTCTTGCTCATCTACTTTAAATAGGTATTCTTACTAAAACAATTTAAAAACAGCATTGTCATATATGATATTTAAATACCACATAAATTAACTAATTATTTTGTGAATATAAGAATAATAAAATTAAGTAGCTACTAAATATCAGGCAAAAAAAAATCCTTACCTCATTTTCATTATTCCCAAATTATATTCCAAAGTTGAAAACATTTTTACATCATCCTGTAAAGCAAGATCTTTCTAAAATAGAGGTATATTTAAGATGAGCTTAAGGGGAGAATAGGAGTTTAACTTTTTTACTTTTTCTGTACATACAAACCTCTTGGCTGTACAAAGGCTGCATAATAGGCAAAAAAAAAGTAAAATAAAAATGAAAAAAAAGGAGAGAGAAGATAGCAAATGTATAGCTCTTCCAAAAGTAATAGCAGAACGTAGTGTTTGAAGAGTTATCAGTTGTCTAACAAGACTCCAATGTTACTTTTTCAAATTCCCTTCTGGAATCAAAAGGAATTCTCAGAGCGCAGTGTGAGATGCGGCCACGGTGGTGGCCACACACGGGCAGCGTGACAGGCCGGGGCGCCCATGGTGGCCACGTGCGGGCAGCCTGCAACGAGAGGTGGGGAATGCCAGAACAGGCGGCTTGAACATGATAACTGCTAATCCGGTGTCACCGGCCAGCCTTAACAGGTGACAGTGCACTGTACTGCACCTCGTGCAGGGAGTCTATTTTCCTGTTTCCTACAAATAAAAAGCAAAGCTCTACAAAACCTTTGTCAGCCAGCTGACAGCGAGGTAGAGAGGCCAAATGCCTTCTCTGGCAACGGAGTATTTTTTGTTTTCTCTTTGAATACATTTTTTGCTGATGAAAGAATTGAGGTACAGACTAGACCTTGGACCCGCCTGTTTAAGGAAACGGACACTCAGAACACTAAAAGATGAAGCTGGGTTTGCTGGGCATGTGGACCAGCGAGGCCTTGGAGGCTGAGCAGGTCTGCAGCTGAGGAACGCGCGTGGCAGGCGGGTTAGGGCTGACAGCCGGGTTTCGGGCTAGGAACGACTGCAAAATGTGCCCAGACACACTGCGAGGGACACACAAAAACACAGAGCGGGCAGCTCTGCCAAGCAGGGCACCACACCTGGCTGCAAATGGGAGAGACTACAGGAGTGTGCATAGAAACATTACAGTTTCATATAGGAGAGAATAGACTTTATATATATGTGTGTGTGTGCATGTATATTTAAACATGTATATGTGTATGTGCATATTATATATACATTTATATTCATGAAACAATGCTACATATTACATATTACTTTGTCTCTTTGTCTTTCTGCTTTCAGTCAGGTTTTTGTAAGAAAATGAGTTGCTGTATTATTTAACCAGGCTCCCAGAAGAGAAGGCCAAACAGACCTAGAACTAGTAGATTAACATAGAAGTAAGAATCAGGGATACGAATCACAGAAATTCACTCTAAAAACTACAGAAATAGGTTATAATAAAAAGAGAGGAAGGAAGGGAACCCATCTCCCAAGAGATACATTCAAAGGACTAAAGGGGCATTAATAACATACATCTCATTACATTGTGACAGTGACACTGACAGTGACGGCAGATGGTGGAATGTGAACACTGCAGTCCATGGGACAACACCACAAAACACCACCCATAACATGCAGCACAGGACACATCTCCAAGACAAAACTGGATGTGCAAAATATCTTTGACATACTGTAAATACAACTATAAAGAGGAGGCTTGGGGGGACATCTAGTGTTTTCAGTCTAAAAATTTGTAAACTTTTTTTTTTATCTTTATGAAAAAGGGTTGTTCAATGAAATTCTACATACTGATTTAAACTCATTAAAAATCCAGATAACTTTATGAACTTTACAAGTATATAACCAGCTGGCCTCTGTATTCCTCATGTATGCATCTCAGAAACAGACGTAAATGATCACTGTTTTAACACTCTAGCCATAGTCTAATTAAAAACGATGAAATGAGCATTTTTAACTATAATGTCTTTGCGCGTTTTCCATGTGATACTTCTTTTTACTGTCACTAATGCATTTAGCACTTCTAAAGTGTTGGTATTCTAATTGAAACTTGTAAAATAAATAGGACGGGAAACAGCCTTTAAACTGTTTCCTAAGAGAATTAATCAATAAAGTCACTCAGATGAATTCAGGCATAAAGACTTTCCAAAGTAAGATCAGCAAGAAGTTCAGTATATATGTAGTTTTTAGTAATTAAATCTGGTATTTGCTGAATAACCATCTGATCAATACTTTCCCATGAATCCAGGAAATCCATAGGGCAGGGACAAAGAAAGGTTGTGTACAAAAAAAAAAAAAAGAAGACACACGATCCTAAATCATCACTTTAATCCACAGTGAATATACCATGACATCCACGATACTGTCCTCTACCAAGAACGTTCCTAGGGAAATGATTGATTTTTGAAGGGAATTACTTACAAAGAAGTAACTAACAGTAACTAAATATTTCAAATTTAAATCACTGATAAGAATGAAAGTTTCACACTACCTAGTACCATCTGAGAAAAAAAAAATCAATGCTGGATGTTTTTTTTGCATGATATAAAAGTACCTAAAAAGGAAATCCATTCAAGATTGACAGAAGTGGCTACACAAATGGAACTGTTCATAGAAGTGAAAACATTAATCAGCACATCATTCCTCCCATCTGCCTCAGGATAATGAGATTTTTAGATTTTTTTATTCTCAGAAAAAAATCAAAGTTCTATTACCAGGTATTAAAGGTAATCTGTGAAAGGAAAGAAAAAAAAATGAGTGTATCTTCATTTTATTCCATGAAGTAAAAGGATGCCAAAAGCTTTCCCCTCCATTTCCTGCAACCCCAAGGTAGATTTACATTTCCTCAACCTTTGCCTGAAGTTGTGATATTCTTGAAGAGAGACCTTCTCTCAAGTGCTTCAGCTTAGTTTGGAAAGAAAACAGACCAAACAGGCCAGAAATTTAAAAGGTGTTTAAGTAAACATCAGTTGCTCTCCCAGGAAGGATTCATTTCTGATATAATCACCTACAGCCTCCATGATCTACAGGCGCTTTCCTGTATTTCCCATCAGTATTATTTTAAGCAGTTAAAAAAAAGAAAAGCCTTGTTCTCCTTGTACAGGCCAATTAATGAACAATGACTGTTGTTAAACTAAGTTGGTTCTTACTCCTGAATCATGTAATAGTTTTTAATTACAAATAATAATTGCTAAAAATATAAATTCTTAATAATTTAGGATATACTCACAAGCACCTAGTTGTCTTTACTTTCTTTGACATTTAGGGAAAGATTAACACTTTTTCATAATAACATCCCTTATTGCAGAGCACTGGAGAAGGTTATTCATTTCCATTCTAAACTATGCTTATATACAGTATTAGAACTACTTATTCACTTACATACAGCTTTGCAAGTCCAATTTGTGCTACTGAAGATTATAAACACACACCAGGAGAAAATACAAGCTCTAATAAAGAACAAGATCTAATCTTTCTAAGTTCTCAAAGGTGCAAAAACAACCACAGAAAAGATGATTAAAAAGAAATAAAACGACAAAAGAAAAAACAAACAGGAAAAGATGAGAGTCACAAAAATATTTAAGGACAATACCTGTTGTATTAATCATACTTTTTGGTGTAGCTCCTGTGGCAGCAAATATATTCGGCGTACTGGCCGGGGGCAGCCCGCTCCCGGCGCCGGCGGCTCCCACTGTGGTCACAGCAAGGCTACCCGGCGGGGGCTTCTTCACCGGCACCACCACGCTCCTGTGACGAGAAACAGCACATTGCTAAAACCCCACCATGGAGCTATCACCAGTTTGTGTGTCTTACAGGTTTCCACTCTGTTATGCTGCTACTGAAAAGGAACACATTAATATGTCTATTATTTTAATCTTTATGGAACGCTTGTAAAGTTGAGCTCTCATATTCCGATGCATGGTTTGCAGACCTCTGTGATTAGGAAAAACTCATCTAATTTCTCTTTCAATGCCCATAAAATAGAAATACCCCCTGATTGGTGTGTTGTTGAGACCACTGTAAGATAAAAATTGCTAAGAAACCACATGCAGTAGAAACTACAACGAAGTGGGGTGGGCAAAAATGCAGAAATGAGCAGTGTAGCAGCAGCAGCACAAAAGTGAAAGGGAATGACTGACTGCTTTCCAATGAAAAATGAATGAACAAATAAAACCCACAACTTCTTTAGCCACTCAGACCACTCCAGCCATACACACACTGCAAACATCGTGCAGCTCAAACCAGAACTTTAGGAAAGAGGCACCATTACTTAGCTTACTACTAACCAGTCGCTAGTCACCTGTGCTAGCATCCTTTGCCAATTCTACACGTACACCTGAACAAAACCCGTGTTTAAGCCGGGCGTTCGAACCAGCTGCCTACCACTCAGGCACTGCTGGTTCATTAACTACCTTCAACAAATCACTACAGATTTTCTTTTGTTGTTGGTTTTCTTTTTTTTTTTTTTGGAGGGGGGGAGCAGTTTGTAATTCACATGAGATATTACCAGTGAAAATAATCTGTTTATTGAGTTGTAGAAAGAGTGGAAATAAAAAATAGTATTTCAGTCTGGTCCATATTCTGTAACTCTGCAAGTTCTAACACAATCTTTTACCCATTTTAATAACCAAAGACCCTCAAACTTAGTCACCCTGCTCAATCAAGAGGTCAGACAGGCTTTCAATAGGCTGGCAATTTCAGGAGAACTACTGCATACTTTTCTGGGATATGTGAAACTTTATGAGGCTAAATTAATGTTCCTGTTCCTCCATCGTTCGCCCAACAGCAGTTAGTCACCCTGCTCAATCAAGAGGTCACACAGGCTTTCAATACAGGGTTTCATGTACTGTCCATCTGAGCTCTGGCAATTCAGGAGAACTACTGCATATTTTTCTGGGATACGTGAAACGTTATGAGGCTAAATTAATGTTCCTTCTCCTCCATCCTTCGCCCAACAGCAACAGACAGTGAGAGAATTTTCGATAACTACTTTTTCAAAAAGTGGTATGGATTTCAAGAAAGGTTTTCACAGAAGTTTTCCACATCAAACAGCACCTTCTGCCAGCTGCTCCAGAAGAAATCACAGTAGGCAATAGGACATAGTTTGATATTACATATCACCTTCTTTCTACAGTTAAATTAACAGAGCCTCTGAAAAGGTTTGATAACTCCTGTTTAAAATTATGTGTATTTTCCAGACTTATACAAATGTGCAGCCCTTTCCAGAGCATGAACATTTTTGTTTACTTGCTGTTGTTCTTGATTTCAGATACAGATTCTGCTTTGAATTTTTAATAAGGGTTTGTCACATTTTGAATCTTACTGTAGATATTCCACTGTAGGTTGCCTACATCAAGGTAAGATTTGTTTGAAATAAAGGAGGAAAGGCATAATTCAGAGACAAGGGGCACAGAGAAGAAAAAGTGCATACAGAAATGCGAAGCGCACTGCAGAGATACAGAAGGTTCACGAACGCATCTAATCTTTGAGATATCTGCAGGTGAAGCTGTAGCAATGAATGTCCAGTTATTTATTACTGTTTTTTTTCAGTCATTTGATACATTCATAAAAACATTCAAATTATAAAGTACATAAAACAACCCTACTACTACCCTGGTTTTGTCTGAAGTAACAAAACTGTTTGTTTCTTAAAAAAAAAAAAAAAAAAAAAAGTAAATTGTCTCAGATGTGATTTTAGGACAGGGGCATAAAGGTCACTGATCCTTGCTCTCAAACCAAGCAGGAGAGAGTTTAATTATTTATAATATCAATGAAATGCTAAGCACTAATATCTCTCTTGAATTAAGGATAAATTAGCCCAAGCACCTAAAATGATCTTAAATATTGGCAAGAAACAAGGCTTGGATATGAAAAACTAACTCTATGCAGAAAGCTGAATGGTCTTGTTGAACAGGCAACAGTGGAAATACTGGAAATCTAATGACTTTGAAGGGAGTGGATAGAATATATGCTACATTGTCATGTCTTAGGTGCGAGAAACATCACTGAAGAAAGCAAAAATGCAAAGGAACAAAGAATATGAGGCGTAAACTCAGAATGGGTAGGGAATGTGCTTCTGTATCTATCAGGAAAAACCAAATCCACAACTCAGCAGCTATAAAGCAGCTGTTCTGTGAAAGCCAATAAAGCTTTAATAACAATTAAAAAAAAATGGGGGTTTAAGCAAGACAAAAATCCAGTGTTATTTTCACCTATACGTTCAATCAATCATGTCAAAGAGTAAAGAAATGCTGGTTTTCTCCTGATAACACACAGATAAAATTCTACTGAAGATATAAAGATGCACCTCAAAAAGGGTATTTATGAGAAGAGATTTAAAAGATCTGTGTACAAATTGCTAAATAATAATCAAGGGGTTGTAAAACTACAGCTTCAAGGAAAAAAAAAAAAAGAGGGTTAATATACCCTACTTCAACCTATTCATAATTTTAGGATGAATTTGCTCATGAGCACTTCCACCTTTTCTTCCTGAGTGTATTCTGCAACTCAGTGGTAAGATCAGGTCCAGATGAGGCAACTTCAGCTCTGTAACAGGATCCAACACTGTATCTTCCCTTCTCCGGAGTGCACCTTGGCTGCTACTTGAGGAAGGATATTCTAGAAAGGAACTCTCAAGTCTTTCCCTTAAATGCAAATCTCTACTGCACAAAAAAAAAATGAGTTATAGAGAGCTAACTAGAGAGTAACTTAATTCCTACATTACTGGCATTTTTTTCATTCGCATGTTTATTGTGATTATTGTGATTGCAATATTGCGATTCCAGAGCTTTGGAAAAAAGGTTGTGGAGTCTCCTTCTCTGGAGATCTTCCAAACCCACCTGGATGCCACCCTGTGCCACGTGCTCTAGGTGTCCCTGCTGGAGCAGGGGGTTGGACTAGATGATCTCTAGGGGTCCCTGCCAACCTCAATGATTCTGTGATTCTGTGATAACCAAAGCAGCAGGGAATGCCTCTCCAGGGAGAGGCTTCAACTCTAACTGACTCCACTTTATTTACAGGAAAGGTGTGAATAAAATGTAGATACCGCATTTAAATGACAGATGTAGACCAGTGTAAATCAGTGATCTCTTAAAGACTGCAGCAACAACAGATGAGTAACGAACCAGAGAATCGCAGAGCAGTTGGGGTTGCAAGGGGCATTCGAAGGTCACCTCGTCCAAGCCCCTGGCTCAGAGCACGTCCACCCGGAGCAAGCTGCCCATAACCCTGTTCAGCTGCGTCCTGACCATCTCCAGGGATGGAGACTGCTACTTCTCTGGGCAACCTGTCCCAGTACGAAACCCGCCTCACAGTAAAGAAGTATTTTCTTGTGTTCAAGAGGAATCTCCAGTATTTAGTTTGTGCCCCAAATCCCCCCTTTGAGCCCCTTCATTGTTTTTTTGCTCGTATACAGACAGATTACCAATAACCTTTTTATTTATTTATTTTAAGTTTTAAGATGGGATTTTCCACAACTCTTAGCATTGGTTTAAATGCTCCTTCTTAAATTGTCAGAACAAAAACTCTTAGAGAATCCCCATGCTACTTACGCACTCAGGTAAGTTTGTTTAATTGACACTCTTATATCTGTGGTACCTTCTCAACTCATATTACCCTAGAGAAGATAATCTTCCTCTCCAGTACTCTTCATTTTAAATTTACCTTTTGAATTCTGGTCTTCTACCCATTGCGTCAATCAGAAATAAATGAAGCTTAATGTAGTAAAATATAGAGAGAGCATAACACCAGAATTTTACTAGAATATATAACTACATACAAAAAAATATAACTATGTATCAAAATGTATTTTCTAAGTGCCTTCTTTCTCAGTACTTATGGCAGGTAAGTTTATCTGTCCTGACTGGAATCTCACTGAGTATCCACTTTCTAGTGCACACTTTTAAAACTATCCCAAGGACATTCAACAGGGAACAAAAACAGACTAAATACTTCAAAAAGTGGCTTTTGAGATTTCAAAATATGCCTGTAAAAAAGTTTATTGAGCATTTAAACTATGCAAACCCATAATTTTTTTATTTATGAAATTACAAAGCCTTAAGAGTGAATAAGGATGTTTAACAGCAGCAAAAATAACTGATTTCACTCCCCAGAACTCAAGGATTTCTGCATATGCAAGACTGCTTACTACTGAAACAATTTGGCTAGCTATAGAAAATATATGCAAATTGCAAAAATATATGCATTTTGCAAAAACAACAAGCGAGATAGATTCAAAAACAAGAGCCCACTCTGAATTTCTATAGACATTTCAGTCTAAAAACTCTCCAGTAGAAAAGATAGTTTGTAACAAATGCAAGCTTCAGAATTGCATATTGGGAAGAATTACACAGAATTTCACAGCCTCCCCCATACAGCAGGAGAAATAAATATCTGCAAAATCCCCCAAAACATGAAAACCCCAAACTCTAAAATCATTAGCATGGGCTTTTTTTTTTTTTTTTTTTGGCCAGCAGGAGATGAGAATGCAGGGAGGAATTATGTACCATAGATTGCAAACGTAGGAGAGCCAACCCTTTGTGTTTGCTTCTAAAAATGCCATCCTGGACTCTATTTTCAAGGAATTCAGTCTGACACTGAAAGACATGTCATAACTTGGGGAATCCAGGCTTCAGCGTCCCAGAAATCTGTTTATATAGCTCATAATGTAATTACAGCTACCTTAAGACAGATGAGGCAGAAGGCAGCAATATATTGAAAACTAATTGAAAAACGCAGTTGTCCAGAAGCACTTGTGGGGAAGAGGTCTCTGAAAAGCTGCTCAAAGCTTCAGAGTTTGAAGTGAAATTTTTGATGTTGTCACTCCCAATCTATTGAAGGGCTGACAGACAATCAAACCCGTCTGGCCGCCTGGCAGCTCATTTTGCTGGCAGGTGGCAAACAATTAGACACACCAATTTGTGCCTCCTGATGACATTAAAGCATGAAACTAAGTTGTATGCAGGGCCTAGTGATTTGTGTGAAAGCATTTCAAAAATAATACTCTTTGCCGTGGCGACTCATTTCAGACTGCCACCTCCCATTACGGCTTTGAGCGCTGAAGACGCCAGACTTGAGCTACGTGCGGAGCGAGGCCGCTTCTGTTCCATCCGTCATCAGCGCCCCCCGAGACCCCAATCCCCTCCTTTCATCAATATCACCTCGTCATTTACATTCGATAGCACTTGAACTGCTGCATACATTAGCTGCACAGAGGTCCCATTCGGTAAAATAGCTCGGGCACCTTTTGTGCTGTTGGATTTCATTTGCAGATGCAAAAATTGCGAAGAGTAATACACTCTAGTGCACTACCCAATGCTTGCTTTGAACACAAGACCAACGTACAATTAAAAAAGGAACATGCAGAGCAAAACATATCATATCAAATGGTGAAACAGAACTTAAAGCTTGAATTATACTTGCACAAGTTTGCTTCATATAGTGTTTAAATGAGTATAAAATGAGGGATTTGAGCTAAAAAAAGAGCCTTAAACCTACAAAGATTCAATTTTTCTTTTTAGAAATTATTTATTACCCAAAGTCTTCTTTTACAAGACTCACAATCACCCAAATAAAATTCCCCCCCAAAAAGATAATCTTCCAAGCACTACTTCTTAGATTACCTTCTGATTGAAGTGTAAAAATACATTTATCTAATATTGATTTTCTTAGAAATAATAATAAAAAGTGTATTTTACAAAAGCAAACAAAAAACTGAGCTGCAACGAATACAACCCAATAAAACAAGGTACTCTGCTGCTCGTGATTCTCCCTGGGGAGGACAAACATGGCCAAGGGCCACACTGCTCAACGAAGGACCAAAAGCTGCATAAACTACAGCGCCAGGAGAGCCGACAGGAACATGGGTCACAGGCACGTGGTTGCTTCCAGGAATATGCAACGTGCACTTTTTGACTGTTAGTTTAAGTTAGGAAACACAAGTATGTTTACATCTTAAAAGAAAGCTTTGATTATTCATGGGCTAATAATCAAGCTTTGATTATTCATGGACTTATGGGGATTATTCATAATAAAGCTGATTTTTTTTTTCAATTTTTCAAAGATTAGTAGGATAGTAAAAGCAACAGAAAATGTTCATAAACCATCACGACCTAAAAATCTTGCAGCTCAATTCTTATTTTATTATTTTAATATATTATGCAAGTCATTTTTTGCCCGACGTTTATATTTCAGTTCCCCCATGAAAAGTTTTAGAGTGAGTCTGAATCACCAAAGAGGAACAGCACCAAAACCGCCCCTCCTTTGGCTCCATGGATCACCACAAGGGTCCAGAAAGTCCCTTGACTTTTTGCCTGAAGAGAAGCAGAGAGAGGCATCTGCCTGAACAACAAGCAGCGTTCAATAACACCGCAAATACAGCACAAACACAGCCCTAGGCCACTCGAGTTCCTGTGGACTACAAACGTTATTATTTCTCTCTGGAAACCCACAGCTCAGCAACACGGGCTTAGCTGCAGGTAAGCAGCTAGGGCCGGCCCCACACTGCCAGCTTCAAGGTTGCTGGATGTATTTGAAAAGTCAGATCTACCTCATTCTACAAAATCAGATCATAGAATCATCTATCGAAAAGAAACTACGTATCTCAACAGAATTGATACAAATGGATCTGTTTTGGTCTTAACTAACATTTACCATCATCCTTGCTCCAGTGGGGAAGTAAATAATCCTATCGGTTTACATCCAAGACAAAAAAAAGAGAAAGGATGTAAAAGAATCAAAACTTTGGTAGTAGCCTAATGTGACGGGATATATATACATATATATATATATGTACACATATATATATGTGTGCGTATATATATATGTATATATATGTATATATGTATGTGTGTGTATATATATATATATACACATATATATATTTTAGCTCCCAAGTAAGATAATAAAGTATGAATACCTAACAAAAGCCATAAACTCTAGACATGCAAAGCTTCTCACATAAGCCCATAATTCTGTATTTACAACTACTTAGGCCAATATTGAGTATGTCCAAGCAGTCACATTGTTTCAAGAAGATCCATGTAGGTGATCACGCTAAATACAGAGTATGGCTGGCATACTACAGCCCACTTAGAGTTTTAAATGCTTTGTCATAAAACTATACCTCAAAAATACAAGAACAAAACCACTCTCCCCAGCTTCCTTTAGGTTCCCTCTAAAGGGAGAGACATTTCTGGAGGTGAAAGAGCCCAATCTCATCTAGGTGCCTAGCGCTTTGTGAATTAAGAACCCTCTGAATAAGGCACTTTTCTGAACTGACCAAAGTGGGGATTTAGCTGAACAAGTTAGACTAAAGCAACTTCTAGGTGGTGAGCTGCTGTTAATTCTACGCAAGTATGAACTTCAATACTGCTACATCTACAGGAACGCAATTAGCAGAAGTGGAATATGAATCAGAATGAACAGAAGACGAATGGGGTGGTTCTTAAAGACTAATAGAAAATTAGTCTTTAACTGGAGGAAAAGAAAATTTCAAGTCACCTTGAAAACTACAATGTGCAGCCGAAGAACGAAAAAATATCCTCTTAGTGAAACAGCTGCCAAGCAACCTTTCTCTGAAATGGCCATCAGACCTAAAATATTATTAGAAAAGGATAAATTTGTTGCTAATTGTTTGCTTCTAAGTCACATTTCACTTTTTCTTTCTCAAGCTGATCTTCTTTGCTACGACAGATGCTATCTGGCTGCTTACTGAATTATTTCAGAAAAGCAGTCTCCGGACTAGCATGTACATATACAGAGAAGCCATCAGCTTTCCTGTGCAATTCCTAGTGGAAAGTGCTTCTTCACTTTCACTCTGCAATTCTTATGTATCTTCTTGCACTTTACATTATGCTAAAAACATCGATCACATTTTTCTTAACACTTAATGAAGACACTTCTGAAGTTTTTTAGGTTTTCTGGAAACGCAGATGGATTTTTCTCATAAATCACAATGATACTTTTCTCACTTTATTTCTTCCTGTCCTTCAGAATTTTAACCTTTGGCCTCCCCAATGAACTGTTTTTTTTTTTGGTAAAACTTTGTTTAAAGTTTTGAGAAATGTTTTAACGTATTTCTGAGTTGACTCTTGATTCCTTGTGTTTTTTAATATTTTAACAAAGAAACTGCAGGGATCATGTATACTGGAAAATTTAATAACAACAACATGCATAAGAGTTAGCTCTTCACAAGCTAAGGCTGGCTCCAGGATGAAGTGAGTTACTGTCTTCTGCAAGGATGTCGTCAACTGCAGAGCTCATCACAACTTCCACACTCAGGATAATTTAAGTATTTAAAGAAAACTGTTTTTATTAGAAGCAGGAAAGCTACAGCCAAACAAGGCAAAGGAAGGACTTGCTGTGTAAACGTTCAGTTTATCTTTAAACTCACTTTTGAGCATATTCGCATTTTAAGGACCTAAAAGAAACCGGTCTCCACCAAGACTATGCACACAATCCAACAGCTCAAGCATTTCAGGACCAGAAAAAAAAGGGCAATGAGAGCTCAATTAAGATTTACACCTTTTGGAAGGATTTTAGGCTGAATTTATCCTCAGTCAGCCTATCTTATATCAGCATATATTGCCCTTTACCCCCCTTCACACTAAAATATTGTTTTAAAGAAGAAAAGATTTTATTGCCACAATATTTCTTCAGAACAGACTTGTCTCCCAAGCTTGCTGCTTAGAGTTTTATTCATTGCTAATAGAGAAAAAAAAAGGTAATTTACCTTGCCTAGATAACCTGTTTTGATAAAACAGAAAATTAATGCAGTTTTTAAAATATTTTATTATATTGTAATACAAACTAATAGAAGCTTCAGCATCTTAAAACAATCCCTGAAACTTCTGTATGAAATCCATATAAAATAATGAGCCCAGCTACGCACCTGTCAAACGAGTGAAACTGCACGGGAAGAATTGCCTGAGCTTCCCTCTTGAGCGCAGGATCGGGGTACGGGATGGGATCCGGACCACATTCCGCAATTTCCACAGGGGCTGCCACCAGACTTTTCAGTATTTCCTTGACATTGATGCCTTTGCTTTGGCTGATACTGGATATCGATGATGCCGGCTTCAAGATTTCGCTGGGGCTTTCGGTTAAGCTTTCCTGAGATTTCTTCACCTCCGAAGACAGCGTGGAGAGCAGCTCGCTCATGGCGTCCGGGCCCGTGCTCGCCTCCAAGTCGGTGCCGTTCAAAATACTGGGCATCTGTTCCTCGCCGATGCCCGAGTCCGTGTGAGGAATGGAGCTCTCCAGCTGCATGTCCTCCACCGGCGTTGGGGTTTCTTTTTCTTTGATATTATCTGGAAATACAGCTGGTGTCTCTGCATTGAAATAGATATTATGAACAATTTTTATAATTTATTTTTTTTTTCTTTCTAAATTATAACCACAAGGTTTTATAAGACAGAAGCATAAAATGTCAGAAAGCCCACAAGTATTAGTAGGCTACATCTATAAGCTCCTTTTATATATAAAGCGTATGTTGGTTTCAATGGCTATTTTGCCTATGTAGCAGTTTGTAAGGCAGAGTCCAAAGTTGCATTTGTAAGTTCAGTGACATTTAAAAACTGCAGATCGCTATTTACACAGTACTCCAGAATACTGCCTAACAACACACTAACAATTACAGCCTATAGATATTTTATCTGTATGATCTGTGAGGCTACTGGGAAAACAAGGCACAACCACTTATGCTTTAGGAACTTACAAAATTTTAAATTGCTAGTGCTGCCAGCAAATCTTAAGCTTGCATACAAAAGAAAATGAAACTGCTAAATCTCTCGTTTGCAAAAAAAAAAAAAAAAAGAAAATATATATTATGTGCATTTTTATGCAAATACATATATAAGCATCTGGAAAATTGGAAAATTTAGTAATACCCCCCCAAAAAAAAAAGATCGTTATTGTCTAGTCTCCAAATCCTGCAAAGGTTTTTGGCAAAAGTTAAGAATTAAGTAAAAACACAACTTGCAGCACACAGCTTATAGAGAAAGGCAATACACGGAGTTTGGAACATTTCCAGGCTGCAATAGCCCTAACAATCAACATCTTGTAAGCAAGAAAAGTGTGTCTTTATAAACTACTTCAAGGAAAGAGATGAAACAACTTCATTAAATTAATATTATTCAGTATGCATGTAATGAATAACTTACACCCCCAACCTTTTGGCTACACTTTTCAGAGCAGCAGGCTGTGGCTACTTGTAATGACAAAAAGCCCACACTTAAACTATTCCTTTTTTTTCAAACAAACTTAATTAAATTGAGTCCCTTGTCTTGTCACTAGCTGGCCTGTGAATGACCAAGGGCCACGTTTTTATTTATTTGGATGGTTCTGTTAAAGTAGTAAGTTTCAATATTCTGGAAGATATTTTAGAACATACTTGGAAGAAGTTCTGCCCTGCGAACTATTCCAAACATTCCTCAACAGTGTAATTTTAATATCAGTCGCATAACTTATCAGATATGGTAGCAGCAATCACCTGTAAAACAGCTACACATTTCCCACATGTCCATGACAGTGTGTGCCTACATCAAGTATTTGCTTGATCTAGAGGTACTGTAAAAGTATTCATTATCAAACAGCACTAATGGACAACTCCATAGCTACTTAGTGCTATCGATATTTGGCACAGAAAGACATCGCTAAAGCAATCGGCTCCACAACACGATCCCATCGAATCTTCTGTTTCACTGTTTCTCTCACCCCCATGCGCACAGACAGCCCTTCCCCAGGAGAGGGGCAGGATCGATATTTGGCACAGAAAGACATCGCTAAAGCAATCAGCTCCACAACATGATCCCATCGAATCTTCTGTCTCACTGTTTCTCTCACCCCCATGTGCACAGACAGCCCTTCCCCGCGGCTGGGAAGTCCCAGGAGAGGGGCAGAGAGGCCACCTCTTGCCCTCCTGCAGCTCCTCGCACCCAGCAGGTCCAGCTGCCCGGGGCCTGGGCAGAGATCTGCAGCTGACAGGGACATCCACGGCAAGCAGGGCACAGCAGAGCATCCCGGGATCCCTTCAGGAGACCTCAAATTAAGATCTGAATGGTTTGAAAAGATGAATGACAATTTGATTCTTCCTCGTTAAAATGTAAGGTGTAAATTACTTTACAGCCGTAGAGAATCAGGTGACGTCTGTTTCTTGAGGAAAAGACTTCCTGAAATTACAAAATCTCAGAAACAGATTTTTTTTTCCTGCGATCACCACTACTACTACATTTTTTTAAGCATAGCTAGAAATGAAATGGAGCAAACTTCAAATTCAATCCTAAAAACAGCCTGCAATGAAGAAAAAAGAGAATGATTGGCAAAGAAAGCTATGTTAGAAGTCCAAATGTAGACAGCAAATGAGAATTGCTGAAATTTAAATGAAGCTCAATATTGTGATGCATGGTAAATAATACAGCAAAAGAAATTAATATTTAAATGTAAAAATGGCATTGAAAGAACAAGAGGGTCTAGTATATAGTGAAGATACAGAAGCCCATAATGTAAACATGGACAAAACAGTACTTGACCATTTAAGCTCAGTTTTCCTTAAGGTCAGCAGTACTGAACACAGAACTAAAGATATTAAGGATAATGGAAACGAGGTCAGGGAAACACAAGTGCCTGAAGTAAACCAGAAGACAGATTTTTAATGTATTAAAAGTATGGGAATAAATGGACTTCAACCCAATTTTGAAAGACACAGTCTATGGTATCACTGGTCTGGTAACACATATTTTTGCCAAAAGCATATGTTGAGTCAGAAACGTTTGCCTGGACAATACCAGGCACAGTACCAGGCCAGGGGAAATGATTCGGACAGTTGTAAGACTTTATCACTAAGTAAGATTTTAGAATTTACTTTCAAGTAAATAACAGTAATGGAGAGAAAAAAAGACTGTACACAACATGGGTTTACTAAAAAATTAAAATCTTTCTTAATGTTTATTGAAACAAAGAAAATTTGACAACTGTAGTCAATTTCAATAAAGTACAATCCCACACAAGATATTATTGCAAAGCAGAAAAAATGAGAATTAATAGAAGGTGGAAAACAAACTTGACAAGAAGAAGTAATCAAAAAATTTCAAAAGGAAAAAAGACTCCGGGACACTACCATGGGAATTATCCAGCTTAAAACTTTTATGAAGATTGCAGCAAAAAAAAAAGTAGGAACGTTCTGGGGAAATATACTCATTACCAAGTTAGGAGGTACGAGTGATGCAAAGAAGAATGATTATATGAAGGAATTTTGACAGAACTTCAAATTACATTTCACAGCACAAAGCTATTTAGTGCATTCAGTGACTAACACATAGATTTCCACTATGATTAGAATATATTAACTGAAATGACCGATCAGGATCAACAATACATACATTACTGGGTAACTATTCAGCTACCAAAACAACTCTGTCATGGAGAAGGTGAGTCTAAGCTGTCCTAAGATATAGCCCCATCAACAGAGCATTATATTGATAGTTTTCGTGAAGGCTTTAGTAGGTTTTGTTTTAAAATGCTGTCTGTGTAGTAATAGCTGAGAAAGATAAACTGTCACTATGAGGATCAACAGTCTCCTATTCTGGCAGAAAAAAAAAAAAAATAAGGAGTTTGGCTTATTTAGGCAAAGTTAATCCTGAGAAGGCACACAACTTATTTTCAATTTATTTTCTGGATGCAAACTCCAGAAAAAAAAAAAAAAGGATTTAAGTTAAATGGAATGAGAGAAACTGAGTGTAAATGGAGAAATTTAGTTTGGGAAATGACAGCCATCAATATGGAATGAAGGTTCTGGAATAGCTCTCTAATCAGAATAGAAAGTTCAAAAATCATAACTAGTATCAAGAGTATGAAAATAGATTGTCTCCACTCTAAGGGACTGAACTTATTTACACAGCAGGTCCCTTGTCTTCCTTAGTTCGCAAACGAGAATAAAATAGCCAGGAAAACTGAACTGTTTGAAGTTAAAAATTAAAGGAAAATTAAATTTTTACTGGATATAAAAATAATTATTTCTAATCAGATGCCTATAATTACGATATGTCACTTTTACACACATATGAAAAAAATAATAATTTTTTTTCTAAAAAAAAATCATATACACAACCAATACCATGGTAAGACAACATTAAAGAACCAGTCAGAAAAAAACTGCATTATTTATTAGGGAAGATTATTTATTATGCTTCAACTCAGAATTAAATTTGATTTATTTGTGAGTATAAATTTAGATATGACCTACTAATTAAAATTATTTTGAAATTAAAAGATCAATAAAAGTTCCCGTACATGCAGCTAAATGTAAGGATGCTTGACCTCCATAGAAACCCGACTTGTACCGTTGCTTTTCATATTGCCCCTCCAGGAACTACGAGAAGCCAAGGCACTAAGTCAACTGAGCTTAGTCTTATTTATCATTTTGAATTGCCCTCTCTTCAAACTACCTAAATTCCATATGTTATGTCTCATTTTTCAAAATATCAAGTAAGCCAAATAGATAGGGGCTTAGCTATCAAAATCACTTTTTGCAAATCAAAGGAAAATGAACTCAGAACAGATAAAACTGATTACATTTCTTCCTCTCAAATGAAAACGTTAGAAAAGCACTCTTTGTGAATGAAATCTGAAAAGACAAGTTATCGAACCTTCAGGATCTGAATTATCATGATCATTATTTTAGGAAAATTATAAATTCCCGGACAAGGGCCAAAGAGAAGAACCAATTCTGTTTTAACACTGCATATCGGAGCAGGTGAGTCTGTGCCATTGCTGCTGTGTCACTGCAGTTCCTACTGACTCCAGCGTTCAGGGGGAAAGAGCCCGCACCGGCTGCCGCGTTCCCAGCGGTATTCCATGAGCATCCTAAACCAGCCGAGTGTTTACTTTTATGAAAGTCCTGAATACTCAGGAATACCTAAATACAGCTTCATTTAAAGATGAACAGCAGGAAAAATATAACTGACTACATCTGTCTGTGTTATAACATTTTGACAGTAAGTCTGTAAATTTTCAGCAAACCTCATCAGCTTTCTGCAGCACTAGGGCCATGTCAGTAGCCAAAGCAAAAACATTTCTAGACTTAGTGATCTTAACCCTGACAGAAACGGGCAGTTGGAAGCCAGATGCCTCTTTCTTACTATTTCTCATTGTAACTAATGAGTTCATCCACTACATTGTGGGTAAAACACGGACTTAACTAAATGACATATCGTATATCTGGTCACCTCATCTGTCGCACTCCTTCCCTAAAATATCTTGTTTTCTCATGATTTATGAAGTCTATTGCAATTTCAAACATACTGAGTTACCTAAAAGTTCTCACAGCACTTCT